GATCAGCGAGGGCGGTCCTGTCACGTTCTCTTTCTGTCAGGGCTGTGAGCTGCAGATTTCCCAAGCGAAGAGCCTCCGCCTCCGCGAGAAGGGCTCGCGTGCGAAACTGTTCGAGGATCTGATCTGATTCGCGTAGAGCGGCAGTCAGTGCCTCGTTCTTCGCATTCAAGTTGGCCTCCACGGCGCCCTCACGAGACTAGTGGCGCAAAATTAAAAGTAATAATATTAAAAAGGGTATGCGTGTGTGATACCAAAGTAGCAAGACGGCAAATGGAAGGGATTGCAGCGAGGGGAGCAAATAGGATGAGACTGTGCGATGATCCGTGCAAAAAAGGGTTTTGGAGCTGGATGAGAGGAATACACATTGTTTTCACTTTAATGATGCTTGGGGGTGATTTCAGTGGCTGTAGCGTTTAGTAATGTGCGTGCCTTCAATGTATTAACATTGCATACAGCATGAGTAGACTACTGTGGTAAAAGCGCGATCAAGGCTTCAGTCGAAGTCCACCGTGAAAACGGGATTCATCAGTGGGACATGCGAGAGGGAGAGGGAGAGCAAACTATACCTGACCGACCACTGGTTCCTGTCGGTCTGAATGCACCGGGATGCGAGTTTAAAGTGAGAAAAAGAGATGAAAAAATTAAAAGAGAGGCCGATCGGGCGCGTAACCTCTTTACAACACAGCAAATCTGACGAGTTATGGACTACTGGGGCACCAAAAATATTGTGGCCTTGACATGTCTGAGGGCTAGGCTGCAAATCCCTACCTCCCCGATTGATCCATCAACCATCGCAGGTGTGATAGCCGACATAGGGAAGTCTATTTCCTGTGGAGACGGGCACTTAATGCCCAATCAATGATCGGGTCCAAGTTCATGTTCAGTTGCCTCTAAGCCGTCTTGCTGCTGGAAATCCAGGCGTAGGGGAAAAGGGCTTAAAATCGGTATTTAGCAAGGTTACGCACGCAAAGCACTACTACACCCTCTATGTGACAGTAAAAATCCTCTTCGAGCTCAACGGATGAACTGCAATGCGGTTCTTTGAGATGCCTTTTTCCGATGAATTAAATTTCAGTCTGATGCCATCATGTACTAAGTTTCCACAAATGCTTGCAGTAGTGAGGCCTAGTAAAAACACCTCTTAACACAAGGGAGTCGAATACAGAACTGACTGGAAAAATGACCGCCTAGAATATGAAGACCGGTAATGTTCGAAGTCCTGGAAAAAGAAACCATGGCGCCTGACATGCGCGAACGAATCTTATACATGGGAGGTGACTAAAAAACAGCGTTTACTATTTGCGGTATAAAAGCGTTAGAAAATTTCACAAGGCCTTATGAAACGGACACGCACCTTGAGTAACTCTATCCTCCGTTGACAGATTGCCAAAGCCTCCGACCCGGACACCTGAGAAACCAACAAAATTATAAAACAGGATTATTTTGCTTAAGCAAAATAGCAGAAAATTAAATTAGCCATTCGCAAAAAAGTGGGTACTCTGTATGACTATCCATGCCCTTGGGGGAATGTCTCCTAAACAGGCACCATTGCACACGAAGGCAGACAAGTGCGTGAAACTGCCGACTCCGGCGAAAGGCACATAGAATATGGTCTTCAATATCGAGGAAATAAACAGGTCGTCTGACAAACATTAACAACGTTGATGGTCAGGTTTGATTCCAAAAATATTGTTTATAAAAAAGCAAAATAGGCAGAGAGGGCCAGAGGACTGACGACGACCATAAAAAATCTGCAAATTTATCACAAAAAATGACAGGAACTGAAGATATCATGACTAACTGTCACGCACATGCCTGGTTAGTTCTTCGTAATGTCCACGAGGACAGCTTACAACGTCCAATTTACAGCAGAACAAGTTCATATTTGACATTAGTTTCCGGCTTTATGTAGGACAGCCAAAAGGTTAAAAAACAGACATGCTCATTTTTGAACAGCGTCGTGAAAACAACACAATCTTATCGGTTCGGAACAAGAGTGCTCTTCTGACCGAAAACCGTCAAATCCTCTTAATAGTGGAAACGGTTTCATGCTGCTAGAAAGTTGGTCCTCGACTGGCACACTAAATAGAGCCATGGACCTTCATCCCGCCTACCAAACGCTCCGCAGAAGGCTAACATCGGCTCAGAACAGAGCAATAGGTCGGGCGGAGAGAGATAAGCAGGGCCGACAGCCGACAGCCGCGAGCAAAGAGGT